CTGTCATCAGAACCATGGATGTTTGACCTGCGTTTTGGTTTTGTAAACAACAGCATATAATAAAAGCATATGGTAAATACCAAGAAAATCTGACCATTTGTTTGAATGGTATCGAACTACCTTAAAGTTGGTTATAAGTCTTACCTTATTATAAGGTATTGAGTACTGCTTCAATATGTGGGGTGAAATCAAGGTCATCTTGTGGCGCAGAAAATTCTGACATTGCTGAAAACTGCTAGGAAAGAAACCTGACAAGAAAGAGAGAATGATAAAGTGGTGAGTTTTGTACATATCTGAAACATCAAACTAAATACTCAATTAATGTAACTTGACCTATCCACAATTTCAACATTTGATGTGGTTGGGAGAGGTAATTTTGGATGAAAATCATGACCCACTTAGGTTTTTCAGATTTTTATCATGCATAAATACTGACATTTTGTCATCACTCGACCGTAAACATTCAACTGTTTGTAATGTTATTTTAGAATCAAATTAAGGTATTTCATTATTGTGTACTGCCTAAATTAGAATACTTAATGTATGATTTGGTTCAAAATTGGCAGAAATGCTTGATTTTGAAGCATTTTAAGAGGCCTGTGTGACACAATGTATGTGGGAGTTCAAATGAAATAGCACACACATGTAACAATATAACCTTAACATTTAGTTAGCTTAGCTTGCTTTTAAAACCACCATCTAGATTGTCTTAATATGTCTTAAATTAGTAACTTGGGAAAATACTACTAATGATAAGTTAAATTTATTGGTGACCTTGATATTTGTGACATAGAAACAAAGGTAAAGCTAGCTGACAGCCAGCTTGCATTACACGTTAGACTCACAATGGACAGGGCATGTCTGAGATATCAGTGTGAAATCTCGGCTTCTCTTTGATCTGATTATGAAACACACTGATATGTATGATGTATGTGCCAAATACGAATGAAAATGGTACATAAATTGTGGAAATATAGTAGTAAGGCCAAAAAGTCAGATGGCTGTCAATCGGCCATCCTTAACCAGGTTTTGAAACAAATTGTCATGGACATGCATTCTAACATGTATAAAGTACATGTATGTGCCAAATTTGAATGAAAACTGACAGGGCACATCCAAGATATCGAATAAAAAAAACAAAAACAAGATGCCTGCTAGTCGACCATCTTTGATCCAATTGCGAAATAAATCGTCATGGGCATGTATCCTAACATGTATAATCTATGTACCAAGTTTGAATGACAACTGACAAAGCATGTTCAAAATACAACATTTTCAAAAAACAAGATGGCTGTCAGTCGGCCATTTTGAATTGAATCGCTAAACCACTGCATGTGCACATGTCCCACATAAAGTACTAGGCACATGCAAAGAATGAACGGAATCGACCCAAGGGATTCTGAGATATGACGCACGGACGGACAGAGACCGAATTATAAGTCTCCGTTTTCGGACTTCGTCTGAACGGGGACTAATAAATTTGATGACTTTAAATTAAATGCATATTCCATGTTTTTAGATAATTAACAATGTACAACATGTCAGGAGTCTAAAACTTTGATCACCTACAGTTACCTAAGTAACCATACACTGGTATGTGATGTCTATTTCGATGACACCAAGTCAACCAATTGTCTACAATGTTGCAAAACAAGTCAACATTTTCATTTAAGTCCAATTGTAATTATTGTAATGGAAACATCTTCCAGCTTTGTTCAGAATTGTGATTAGACAAATGTATAGCTCTTACCAGAAGCAAGTCTTTCCAATCGCTTTCCATGTGTTGGTGGTATAGTATACCTGACAAATACAAAAATTAACAGTTATAAAATTTCATTCATTTGGAGCTTGAATTCTGAACAGAATGTACATTGGAAAACTTATCAACAGTGACTTGCTTATTTGAATGCATGCAATATCACTGTGTAATATCCTCTGATGCTTTGCTAAGTTATTCCAACTGAAGGCACTGGTCTCATCTGACTTATAATCCCTTTAGCAGAGTGACTGAATACTTAAAAATAGTTATTTTTCACCGGGAATTTATCCTTGCTATTTTCGCTGGTGGAATGACTCTGTGAAAACAATATCTAGCGAATATACCTTTTTGCCTACATTTTACATTTTGAAAATAAACTCTTCTTTCTACCTAAAATAAGGTATTTTACAGTTAGTCCTTTCTAAGGATAGTATCGCATTCAGCATACCGGTAACTGTTTAATTGTTAACCAGATCGTGTTTTTTTCAGCCAAATCACACAAGCAATAGCAGACAACGCTTAACTTTGCCCAGAAAAATACCCACAATAGAATAGTTTGGGCAAAAGCAGCTATGCCCAAATTTGCCTATTAAAACAATGTGATAGTCCTATCAAGCTTCTAACTTACATCACAAATATAGTATATATATTAAAATATAGTGATCATATCAGCTATAAAGCAAAGATTGATGCAATCCTATAGCTGTACAATTCGTGATATTTATTATATACTTTTTGTAAGAACAGTTGAACAATATGAACTTCGCAATATGATGTCTTACCATGATTTTGGTTCACCAAAGTGCAAGTAATTAATACTATAAAGATCCATGTCTTCAGTATGCCAAGCAAAGGTAGTCTTCCACATACCAAAATACAAATAGGCAGTATTAACACCCTCTATCTTAATTCCTTGCCTTTCTTCTACAACATCTAATACTGTATTCAAATTATTTATGTTCCAGACATGCTGATCTTTGTCTGTTACTGATCCTGATATATCAGCTCCATAGATTGGAGAATTATATGTGATATTTTTCCAGTACTTTCGCTCCAAGTCTTCAAAGTCTGTGTGCTTAGGAGCACGGTATCTATAGATGAAACACAGTGAGCTATATGTACTACAACAAACTAGCAAAGTGGAACATATTGGAGTCAAGCACTGGCCCTGATATTTCATTAAAAATGGCCATGCAATTACAAACAATTATTACTCAAGTGTGAACATGATGTACTGTACTAGACCATGTTACTGCCCATGCCCGGTCAAGCACCCACCACCCACTTTTGCGAAATTGTTATATTCGGGTCATATTTGGCAAAGTGCCCACCCCTTTCAAAATGACACTAATTTAAAAATTGGTTTTTGATCATTGCTTAACAAATACTGGTAATTTGCATAGACTAGTTCTATTTCCTATTATTCAAAAAAATCATTTATCTTTTCCAAAAGCTGAGTGTTGTGATTATACCCACTAGGAATAGTTCCAAGCAGAGAAAATCCCATGTTCATGAACTGTAATTTGGTTGCACAGATTTAACAGTTAACAGCTTAACAATAGAAGTACAAAAAGTTAGTTACTTATCACTTTCTGCCATCAATCTGTATTCTCGTACAGTCATG